CAGAAGAGGCCGCTCTCCAGAACATACTCAGTGACCACCCAGCTTCCTGGCAGACAGGGAGGGCAGCGGCCAGCACCACATACACCAGCTGCAGGAGCAAGGGTGCCGAGGGGCTGTGGGCCAGAGCCCTCCCTGGGGCCTAGTGTTCCTCGGGCCTGGCATTCCCTGGTAGGTTTCCCACAGAGTGTAACTGGTAGGCGTGGATCAATCTGGAGGGGTCCCCTGTGGTCAGGCTGTGACTGAGAGGGGTGCTCATGGTGTGGGGTCAGGAGAGAGGGTTTTGGAGGTGGCCACCAGGAGACCACTGGACAAGGTGGGTGTGTGGGCCACCACTGTGAGGATCAGGAGGTGCTGATGGCAACGTGTGTGAAGCCTCTGGGGTCCAGGATCCTGCTCGGACACCTGGTGGGCATAGTCTCTTAATGGGCCCCTCTTTGTGTTCTTCATGATTCGCCCACTACCTAGAGTCTCAGTAAAATAGCACTTTCATTTTTGGGGGGATTCTTAGTGTTGGGTTATTGAGGCTGAAGTGAGTTTTGTTTTAATTGCTGTTGCCAGGTTGAGTCTTGCCAGCGCCTATGATCATGGAAGCACCTATTTTACTAATCAGCATGAACGCAGGTTCCTCTCCCTGTCCCCACCAGCAGTTTCGCCTGGGGTTCCTGCTGTTCGAGGGGGACCAGTGCATGCGCACCAGCAGCCTCTGGGCAGGGACCTGTGCCCCCAGCTCGGTGGTGGCCGGCCTCAGGACTCAGTCGCAGTCATACTCTGCTCTGGTGTGTTTCAGTGAGGTATAAAATGGAGCCACACGGGACCCCCGGGCCCTTCAGCCGTGCCTCATGGTGACTGACGTCAGAGGGGACTCAGGGCCCAGCGTCTGTGCTGAGGTGGAATCCTGGACATCCTCTGCTAGGCACAAAACCAAAATTCTAGACTTGTAGGGAAACCAGAGAGTGGGATAAATCCAGTACCCAGTGTCAGTCAGTCCAACCCCGTGGCAGTCTCTGGCCTGCTGTTGTAGGCTTGCCTTTTTCTTTTTCTCTCTTTCTTTTCTTTTCTTTTTTTTAGAGAGAGAGAGAGAGAGAGCGCGAGAGAGAGAGAAAGAGAATTTTAATATTTATTTATTTTTTAGTTTTCGGCGGACACAACATCTTTGTTTGTATGTGGTGCTGAGGATCGAACCCGGGCCGCACGCATGCCAGGCGAGCGCGCTACCGCTTGAGCCCCATCTCTAGCCCCTTGCCTTTTCTTTTAAAAATAGCGTTATTGAAATACAGCGGCATATACCATGCAGTTTAGCTGGGGGGACCGCTGGCCCGTGCTCACTTGTGGGGTGGGATCTGGATGCTGTCTTCCGTGGCTGGTTCCTGACACTAGCACAGGGTTTCAGAGCCTGTCCAGGCTACAGGGTGTCCACTCTGCACTGGGGAGTGACCTTTGTCAGTGTGCACACCAGCCTGTCACATGTGCCCATCCACGCACCTGTGATGCACGTTGGGGCTGCTTCCACAGTGAATGACGTCAACTCTTCTCTGCACGGTCTCCCCAGTGTTTGTTCAAAGAGTAAACATGGAATCGCATTTGCATTCCTGGAATAAACTCTGCTTGTCGTCATTTGCCCACTAGTGTGCCACTCTTGCACATCGGTGGACTGCGCGGGGGTTTAGCCTTGTGCCTCTGCAGTCACGTGTCCCTTGGTCTGAGGTTTGTGACTTCTGGTCTTACGTCGTGTCGGCTTTCCTGAGAAGATTCAGGAGTCCGCTAAGGTTGGTCTCCCCCGTGGTCTGCAGCAGCTGTTCAGAGCACTGGGTGAAGGGTCTTGAGCTTCGGAACCGGCTGTCATTTTCAGTGGGAGAGCTAGGTCCGCCTCCTTCCCAGTCTCTCCAACTCCCTGGTCGTGTCTTGGATGAACGTTGTAGTTGATGTTTACAAGCGACGGCCTGTCCTTGTAGACTTTCAGAGTCACCTGTGAGACTGAGCGGTCTTCTTTCATGGTCACTGTGCTACTGTGCCCGTGGTCACCTGTCTTATTGAATCCATTGGTGTGTAGATTCTCTCTTTTTTCCTTAGCCAGGCGTGCAAAGACTTTCGTCTCTTAGTCTTTGTAAACTTTTGGATCCCTTCTCTGCTGTTCGCGGCTCACGGTTCCAGCCCTGCTCGCCTCTTCCCCACATTGGAATATTGTTCTCCATTTTTTTTTTGCTCCAGTCATTTCAGTCGAATTCTTGGAAACGCTTAGTCCTTTGCAGAGTATCTGCTCGGCTTGCTTTTTTCCCTTTCCTTTCTAGAGATCCTGTTAGGTGGGTATGGATACTTTGATATTTTATCCAAACCTCTTTGCTCTTAAACATGGTGTTTTCTCTCTGTCTCTTTCCTTTTTCAGGACTTTGTAGGAAAACGCCTGAGCTTGACTTGATGCTCCCCGTGTTCTTCCCCGGTAGGTTCTGGTGAGCCTGACCGTGGACCTCTTGGCTTGAGATGGCCTGCCCATGCCTTGGTTTGCTAGGTTGCTGCGTCTCCTCCTGCAGTGCTCCCTGGGCCCTGCGGTTGGGGTGCTCCCGTTACTCTCTGTGTCCGTATGCCCGCCCAGCGATTCCAGGCAGAGGGCTGCGGGAGCGGCGCTGGTGAGCTGGAGAGGTCCCAGCTGCCAGTGGCCCTCTGTGGCGGAGGACATGGGCCTCACAGTCACTGTGCTCATGCCACCCCACTCTGCCGTGGCTGTGCTTTCCTGAGGCAGTGACAGATGGCCCCGCGGTGGCAGCCGTGGCTTTCTGTCATGTCGCAGAGTGGGATGGAGCCTGTCGTGGCCAGAAAGCTCTGCCCAGGCCTGGCCGGTGGTGCCCTCCCTGTCCCACAAGTGCGTCTGGTTGTCCAGGTCCCGTTCTGTTTCTCTGTGTGTCCTCAGGGCGGGGTGGCAGGGCAGGAGCAGTGGCACCTTCTGGTCTGCCGTCCTGGGCAGGATCAGGAGCCATGCACCTTAGTCTTCTGGGCTCATCAGTGACCCTCACCAAGCCGCGTGCCTCTGGGCAGTCCCTGTTCCACATATCTCAGCACTTCCGGACGGGTGTGTTCAGAGAGTGTCGTGCAAGGAGTCTTCTTCAGGAATGGAGCTGACTGCCGTGCTGAAGGCGTGAAGGCAGACCCGAGCCATTAGGAACTTGGTCTGCACAAAGGCTCAGGGATGCTTGAGGTCACTTCAGAGGTGGAAGCTGCAGTGTGACATGTGGCCTTTGATGCAGCGGGCTGTGCTGGACCCTGCTCTCTGGGTAGGAAGGGGCCGCTGTGAGGATCCTGGACCCAGGGCCAGGCAGTGGCAGGGGTGCGTGCCCTGACCTCGGCTCCCCACTCCGATGCCCTTCTTCATTCCCGGGTGTTTGGCATCCCCATGGGTGTTGATCAGTGACACTGCGCCGTTCTGTGTCACCCTCATGTGCTGTGAAAGTGCACTGATGACTGTTACCAATTTCAAAGCCACAGAAAGTGCTCTCCGAGGCCCTGAAACTCTGTGGTTTGTCCCCTTCCTCCCTGCCACCTGCCATCCTCGTGGGGGACATCTCCTGCCACCTTGGACTTGCCGCTCCCGCACTGTGCCATGTGTACACCAGCTCAGCATTTCTGAACGTCTGTTCCTTGCTCTCTGGAAGCTTCTCCACCCATCCATCTTCATGCAGGTGTGACCTTCTCAGCAAGGCATCCTCGGTGGCCACATGGCAGCACTGCATGCCCTTCCTCACCCGGCCCTTCTGTGGGCACTCACACAGCCTTCCAGCACACAGCACGGCCTACCGTACCTCCTGGGACGCGTGGACAGCCTGTCCTGGTGTCCCCTAGGATGTCTGTCATGGTGCCACCTGGGACATGTGGCAGCCTGTCCCTGTGTCCCCTCGGATGCCTGTCACCGTGCCCCTGGGACATATTACATCCTGTCATGGTGTCCCCAGGAGGCACCACATCCTGTCGTGGTGTTACTCAGGGCACACTGCAGCCTGTCACAGTCCCCTAGGGCTTGCTATGGCCTCTCATGGTGTCACCTAGGGTATGCTGCAGCCTGTCACCGTGATCCTTAGGGCATGCTGCAGCCTGTGTGGTTCCCCTAGGATGACTGTCGTATGTCACCCAGTACACACTACCCTATCACGGTGTCCCTGGGGACATGCTACAGCATATTGTCCTGTCATCTTTAGGTCTCCACAGCATGTCGCAGTGACAAGACCTGCGGGCCTTCTCTGGCTGTCCTGGCTCAGCTCCAGGACCTGATCATGCATAGCTCAGTAAGAGTGTGGGGAATGCCAAAATGGGGCTTGTCAGGGATGAAGCAGAACTCTGTGGTACTCGGTCCAGAGGGTGAGCATTTGAAAGCCCAGTAAGCCAGGAGCATGCGTTCAGGAATAAGGTAGAAATTTATCTTAGTTCACTAAGATTTTTCAATTAATTTTCTGCCAAGTTACACATACCAATTTATGTAAAACTTGCTTCTTGAAAAATATGATTCTGTGTATAAAAGACAATAAGGAGTCTGTCTGTACGTATGTATGTTTAATAAACAGCAGCTTAGTATTGACAGGATACCTCCTGAGATCTCACTTAATTCTATTTTTGGGGAAATGTTTTCTTCATTAAACTATTCGTTGAACATTGAAAGCCTGGGGCAGGTAGTAATTCATGTCATATCAATGTTTTTAAAAACTCGCAATAATATTTTTCATATTTTAGAATGTTTTTCTAATCCTTTTTATGAGTTAATTCCATGCTTGATTTTCATGTTCAGCTGGCAAAGTAGGAATCTTCTTGAGCCACTTGTGCTTTTATTCAAGCATTTCTTTTCTTTCTTGTAGGTTTGCTCTGAGGCCACATTAATGAGACACGTGGAGTCACCTTTGACAACATCACCTGGGAGAGACTGATGTCTTAAAAAGCCATGTGGACCACAAATAGCGGAGGAGCCGAGTGCCAATGCTGCGCCTTTTAGTATCATCGATATGTTTGTTAAAGCGTCAAGACAGAGGATTTGTGCATGAAGAAAACAATTTGTTCAATAGTGTTATTTTTAGCAGCTTTTAAGAACTCTCATCTTACTGTGTACACCGCTCCTACAGCATCTAAGACGTAAAAGTCTCCACCTTGTCTAAGCAGCTTTCCTTTTGTTCCCGGGAACTTCATCGGCTGACCTGGTTCCTGCGCATCCAGGTCTTCAGAGGTTCTGCACCAGGGAGACATGGACTTGGGGGCTCAGGCTGCACTGCGGGGCTGCAGTGGGCTTCAGCGGACGGTTCGAGACGTCGCTCATCGCCCTCAGAGCCCTCGCCTGCGTGTGTGGGTCCTGGTGTCGGTGCAGACCGTGGCCTGAGCATGGCCTGGGTGAAGTTCCTGCGGAAGCCTGGGGGCAGCCTTGGGAGAGCCTACCAGCCGGGCAGCACACTGTCACTGGCACCCACCAAGGGCCTGCTGAACGAGCCTGGGCAGAACAGCTGCTTCCTCAACAGCGCTGTCCAGGTGAGCCGTGAGGCGTCTCCCCCGAGAGCAGAGGCGCTGTGGGATGGGTGGCTGGTTGGTGGTACTGTCAGTGGGGACACAGTGGGCATTTGGGCTTTTATGGTAAAGGGAGATGGTTTTTCACCAGGATGGGGTATGACTGTGATGTTATAAAGCACTCTTATTTAAAATGTTCAGTTCATTAAATGTCACCTTGCTTTCCATCAGCCAACACTCCCTGCCTTTCAGAAGACATTCAGGGACGCCCCAGTAGAGAGGATCAAACGCAGCAGCTGTGTGGCTGCGAGGGTAATGGAGCTTTCTCAGTGGTCACACCCGCTCCCCCTCTGCCGTGGCCGTTCTGCCTGCTCTGGGGCCTTGACTTGAGCACCCCTGCACTGGGGACATTGAAGGTCGATCCTTTGGCTTCAGTTCTTGCAGAAGCTCTTTTAATTACAAATTGTACTGTCCTACTTTCTTGCCTCAGATAAGTGGCCTTTCCTAGGTGTACCCTGGTTCATATTCAGAAAAGTTCCAGACTTTTCCATCTTCCTGAGAACTGAAAGGAGCACTGCTTTAATAAGCAGATTGGGACTGTCAGGCATGGAGACACCTGTGTCATCGAGGCCCTCCACATGGGACAGATGTCACAGATTGTCAGGTGCACGGACATCTGACTGATACTTCATGTCCTGGTGGCCTTCCAGCTGAGAACAGACGTCAGGGACTATGTCAGGTGTGCAGAAATGTGACTGACAGCTGACTTCTCAGTGGCCCTCCACCTGAGAGCTCACCTAGAGACAGAAGATCAATGGAATTAAGAGAGCATTGGTCCTCATTTCCTTTAAGACCCCAAAGGAGCCACTGTTCTGTCCTGGCATGGAGATTTCTTCTGCTGAAGGGAACTGGGTGTGAGGAGATGTCCCATATCAAGAGACGTAGGGCCAGAAGCTTCATGAAGGTGTGCTGCCCAGAGGGTCTGCACATCAGACCTTCTCCTGCTCTTTGGTCTTAGCTCCTCCCTCGGTTTCTGTATTTCTCCTTAGTTCCTCCAAAACTATGTAGTTTAGGAAACAAGGCAGGCAACACGAGCAGATTCTCAGGACGTTCACAGGAGACAAACTCAAGGGTTTCCTATTCTGAGTTGGAGGACCCAGTCACAGGGAGGTGGCTGCTTAGGAACTCTCCTGTCTCCTCAGTGTTTCCTGTCCCCCTGTGGAGGACCCAGTCACAGGGAGGTGGCTGGGTCCTACCTCCTCAGGTGTTCAGGCCTCTCTGGAGGCATCCGTCTCACGTTTTTGGGTTGCTGAAGTTGCCCCACAACCCACTGATGGTTTCCTTCTCCCCTGACCTTGTGTTTCTCTTTCATTCGTGTCTTCTGTGACTGCCTTTCGGGTTCATTCATCTTTTCCTTCCTGACGTCTCATCTGCTGTCAGTCCCATTAATTTCCTATCTGTCTTTGATGCTGCAGGTCTCACTTCTGGAAGTGTCCTAACACCCTTCTCCTGGCTCTGGGTTCGTGTTCAGTCTTACCTTTTGCCTGTTAAGCACATGAAATCAGGTGTGACTCTTCTTGTGCTTTTCTGTCAATAGTGCGAATACTGGATGAGTTTCGGTGACCCATTTTTCCAGCTGCCCTCTGGGTTGTTTCTTTCCTTGGCAGTCTGGTGATCTTTTACTGCAGGTGGGACAGGTTTTGCCTGTTGAGTCGTGGTGTTTTCACTTCCTCACACTGTCTTGAACCTTGCATCTGTTTGGAAGCAGTTTGGCCACTTTCCTGCCAGTGGTGATTTGGCAGGATCAGGTCCTGCTTATCTGGGCTCAGTTTCTCTAGAGACTGCATTTCTTCTTCAGCTGATGTTCTCTGAGTCTTGCAGTTTTCGGGGGCCCCTGGGAGCAGCACATCCCTGGTCCACGGAGTTCTGTGCCTTGCTCCTGGAGTCCCTTCAGCTCTTCCCAGCTGGAGACAGGCACCAGCTCTGCCTGTAGCCCAGCCACCGGCCAGCTCCCCCGGCTTCCCGAGGCTTCTCCTGGCTGCAGAGCCACCTCGCTGACAAAACAGCACTTCAGATGGACTTTCTGTCATTTTAAAATTCAGCATTCATGTTAGTATGCAGTCTGGGAAATGTTTTTAAATACTACTAAGAAATAAATCGTTTGTGGCATACATTTTGTAAGAAAATACTAAAAGCAGACATTATTAAAGTGGATGGGTTTCAGCTGGGCACAGTGGCATATGCCTGTGATCCCAGTGACTTGGGAGCCTGAGCAAGAGGATCACAAGTTCAAGGGCAGCCTCAGCTGGTAAGCAAGACCCTGTCTCAGAATATAGAAAGGAAAAGCACTAAGGGTGTGGCTCCCTGGTTGGGCACCCCGGGTTCAATCCCTGGTAAGGAAGGGGGGTCTCGGTACGTCAGAAGGTAAGTTCATACGCCACTTCTCAGTTCTAGTCTTTAAGTTACTGTAATGAGGAATTTGACGAAAGGTCTGTGTGTCTTCATTAAGTGTGTGTATGTACGTTGACGTTTCAGGAATGAGCAATATGTACATTAAATGCACTGATTTTTTTAGTCTCCATGTTACATTGCTGTGTGAAGGTGATGAGAAACAAAAGTTCATATTGCTAAACAGGAGTCCACCAACTAGTTTAGACTTCAGATTTTTTAATAGTATAATATCATCATTTAAAAAAGAAACAGGATACAGATTGACTACTTAGAATGATCATTTTTGATAGAGATTAGCGAAACAGGCTTCACACATTCTGTACATTATGTTGAATCATGTACAGAGAAGTTTTTGTTTAAAAAAATTTAAAATGCTTTTTCTGTGACTTAAAATTCTCCTACTGCGTCCAATGGGCAGCACTTGCCTTGGAGCAGACGCGGGGGCTGCCTGTCCTCGGGGTGTGCACCTCTGCCAGGAGGCGCAGCAGCTGGGTGGACTCGCGGCCTGAGAAGCCGGTGGGTGAGCCGAAGCCAGCTGTCTGCCTCTGCCTCTGCAGGCCAGAAAGCCCACCTTAGCAGTGGCAGCCAGTCAAGGCAGGGGTGCCTCCGAGGTTGCAGGGGCAAAGCTAGGTTCCTCTCCACTGCTGTGGAGCGACCTGCTGGCAGCTCGTCGTGGGGCCCTGCCCTGCAGTGTGCAGACCTCAGCAGCTCACTGCCCATTTCCGCATTTTTGCCTCTCAGATTCAAAGAATGAAATCCACGGACAGTCACGGTAGGCAAAAGTGAAAGGGTAGGATTTACCAGAGAAGAAAAGAGGAACTCCCACAAGTTGAGAGGGGACCTGGTAGCAAGCACATTTCCATCCAGTGTACTAGAGCAGAGGCTGATGTAGCTCTGGGAAAGGGCCACGATGTGGCTGATCAGTTCTTGGAAAAGTACCGATGCTCTTGGTCAAAATCTGTGCTAAACTGGTATTGAATAAGTGCCACAACTGTTGGTCAGAATCTGCACTAAGCAGGTCTTGGAAAAGCACTGGTGCCACTGGTCAAAACCTGTGACAGAGGACTTGGAAAAGTACCAGCGCTGTTGGTCTGCCGCGGTCTTCTAACTGGCCGTGCCCTTTTAGCCCTTGAGTTTGCACTCACCTGGAACCTCTGCTCGGGTCCACCCTGTGCCTGGAGAAAGGGTTGGCTGGAATGTTTGGGATGATTCTACAGGTTAACCTCATGAAGTGGCCTTAATATTCAAAAAAAGAAAAGAAACCAGAACACTTAATGGGGGCCCATACTTGTCCTCCCTTACCCCTGGGGAGGTGTGAGCAAGCGGGAAGCAGCTGGTACGGTGGTGTGCGTGTATGGTTGCTGATGCACATCTAGACAGAGCCACGGCCTGTAGTCCATAGGGCTGCTGACGCACATGGTGTCCACACTGTGCCTAGTCCCAAGTGACCCAGTTCAGTCTTCACAGAAGCCCCTAGAGTAGATACTGTGTTTGTCATCAATTTACTGAGAAAACTGAGTCTTAGGAAGTATTTTGCCCAAGTCTGACTTGAAGTTGGTAGTAGTGAACAAGAGTTGGAAGCTGAAGGCCTGCCCTTGGGGTGCTGCTGACCATAGCTGCTCTGCATTGGCAGCTCCTGCCCTCATCCCAACCTCCTTGTGGGCGGAATGGGTTCAGTGTGGTTTGCTTTATAGTGTGATGAGAGATGACAGGAAGGGAAGTTTCTAAACATTACCAAGGGCTTAGCAAAATAGTTAAGTTTTTATGATTGATAAATGGATTAATCATATTGCATTAGTTTCAACCACTATGAAAGGCAGTGTGGAGGTTCCTCAAAAGACTAGTCACGGAACCACCATCTGGCCCAGCTACACCGCTCCTCGGTATTGATCCTAAAGAATTCAAGTCGTCATACTACAGAGTATTTGCACACAGTGTAGCAGCACATTTCATGGTAGCCCAACTATGGAACCAGCCTAGGTGTCCATCAGTGGATAAATGGTAAAGAAAATGTGAAAATACACGACGGAGTTTTATTTATCCATTGAGTGAAATTATGTCATTTTCAGGAAAATGGGAGGAACTTGAGACCATTGTGTTTAAGTGAAATAAGTTAAATTCAGAAGTGCCAATGGCCGTATATGTTCTCTCATATGTGAAAGCTAAAAGAAAAGAAAGATGGGGGAAAGAGACGCTCATGAAAATCAAAGGGAGAGCAGCAGAGGAGAGGGACCAAAGGTAGGAGGTGGGAGGTGAGGGGCAGGTGCTGGGGAGGAGTATTAGCTGGGTGGTATTGTCATTTTGTGTGCAGGTACAGCATGTAACAACAAATCCCAGTGGATGCACAACTAAAGTACACCAATGAAAAGCGTGGAGAGAGAAAAGGCAACCTTCAAAGGGAAATTCTGAAATACTCCTTTAGTTAGTGAGTCGTTGAAAACGTAGGTGGCGTTCTGTGCGTGTGCCCACCATGCTTCTGTCACCTCTGTCCTGGCCTCTGCAGGCCACCTCCACTCAGTCCACCTGGCCTTAGGGTCTGCTGTCTGTCCTCCCAGAGTGCAGTTGTTCCAGGTGTCGTCCCCACCTCCTCGTCCAGGTCGCTGCCAGGCCTTCCTCTTAGCACCCTGCGCTGCTTGTTCACAGTAGGTCTTGACCGCTAGTGAGTTCTCCGCTGCTCTCTGCCTGTTTTGATTTCTCCGTGAGTCAGTGAGCGTGTTCTGCTCCATCTTCTGTGTGCGCACAGTGGGTCTTATACTTGCTGCTGTTCAGTGGTTGTGCACCTCTGTTTATGTACGGAGATAAAGAAGCTACTTATCAACCTTTTGCATCTCTCCAAATATCCAAGTTTTTCACTGTGAGCAAAGTCTCACTGCTCCTTTTTCCTTCACCTCTGTTCTTTAGGTCTTATGGCAGTTGGACATATTCCGACGAAGCTTACGGGTTCTGACTGGACATGTTTGTCAGGGAGAAGCCTGCATATTTTGTGCACTGAAGGTAACATTTTAATAGATATGAAAAATTATTATCAATTATTTCTCCAAAAATTTAACTTTGATAGTTGACATATTTGGTCAGTCCTTGGCAATGAGAGTTTGTGGTCAAGTGGGCTTGCAGACACCTCTGCAGGTGTTTCTGCTCCTTCCTGCCCAGAGTGCCTCCTGGAGCAGGGCCAGGCTGCTGCCTGACCCCCACAGCCCCCACCCTGCTGTCTGTTGGGGCCGCGTTCTTGGGAGGCAGGCACCAGGCTGTGAGGAAGCCGAGCCTCTGAGGAGGCCTCGGGTGGGTGTTCTGGATGTCACCCACATGGACCTGCAGACCCGACAGAGCCGCTTTATGTGATCACAGGTCCTGCATTCAGACCGTCCCCAGGAGGGAGTCCGTGGGGGGCAGGGTGAGCCATTCACCTGATTGCAGAGTCCCATCAAAGCAAGCGTTTTCAGGGCTCAGCTTGCAGAGTTTGTTGAGGGTAGTCAACATCTGTCCTGAGCTCAGGTTGCGCAGGGCTTCCAAGGCCCTGATGCAAATCATGGCTGCCTCTGGTGGGTGGCCAGATACGGGGTCACTGCACGGCACGTGAAGCAGGCTGTCTGGCTGGGATGGAGAGAAGGTAGATGATGGCAGAAACAGGGTCCTGTGGACAATTCATTTTTGTAACTGAAAATTTTTTGCCCAAGAATTTAAGATTGGATGAACACATTTTAAAGATAAATGTTTTTTATTCTTTTAGGTTCTAAAATATTCTTAATGAAGACACACACATGTATACATAGGAACATAAAATTAAAAACAAAACAAAAAAATTCCATGTCTTAGATTTTCTTGTTCCTGAAAAGGCTTTTTGAATAAATGGCCCCAAGAGGACCTGTTATATTGTCTTCTTTCAAATGTGGTAGGGTGTCCTTGTTACAAGGCAAAGAATCAGCCTCGTCAGATCATGGTGTCAGTTTATTTACTCTGCAGGGCGTCTGAGCATCCTGCTCTCTATGTCACCGAGTTTCCACCCTCCCCTGTCCCATGCCCCCACCCCCAAGCACTGGCTGGCCACTGTGGCCACTGCCTGCTGACCTTTTCTGCTCCTGGGATCACACGCTGCTTTCTTGGTGCATTTCCCCAGGTCCCCTTCTGTCAGTGAGGCCTGCCTGATGGCCCTGGGCAGGAAAAGCCGTGTCCCTAACTCGCCCCCACCCCTCCCCCAGCAGGCCTCAGCTGTCACCCTGCGTTCCCTTCTCTCTCTGCATTTTTTATTTTTATCTGCCCTTTCTTGTCCCACTGTTATATGTGATGGCTCATTTGCAGTTTGCTGCCATGACTGGACGGCAGCTCCTGTGCAGATGGGACCCATGGACACTGGCAGGCAGGAGGGCATGTCACAGAAGGCCTGGGGGACCAGCACCTCAACCCAGAGTGCTGCTTGCCTGAGTCCAGCACTCATGATTATAGCTGTTAGAGTGTCTTATGTAACTGTAGTCCTGGCTGCCTAATAGTATTTGAGTCTTTATTTTTAAGTTTCTTATTCTATTAATAAAATTTTCAGCAGTAGAGAACAGGTTAATTTTTTTTTTTTTTTTTTCTTTTTGGTGATGCTGCTGGGGATTGAACTCAGACCCATGCATTTTAAGCAAGCAGTCTACCGTTGAGCTACAGCCCTGGCCAGAGCAGATTCTTTAATTACTTGCCTGGCCTGACTGTGCATTGGCCTTGGAGAACTGGAGGGACCGACCCCTGAGCTTCGGCACCAGAGGGGCTCTTATTCAGGGGTTGCCTCTGCAGATCTCTGCTCTGCGACCTCCTTCCCCAGGAGTTGGTCACCGCAACTCAGCTTACTCACAAGCTTGTCTTTTTTGTTTATTTTTTGCTTAAATTCAATAAAGAAAATAGAAATCTAAAGTCATACCTACACTTTCACATTCTTGAATGATGTTTTATTGCTTCTTGGGTTTATGTTAAAAGTCTTCTCTAAGACTGGAAATTGACAACTTGGGGTTGCTTTTCTTAAGTATTTAAGTATTTAAGCTCTTTTCTGACTCTTACAAAATGCACTGTTGCATTTTTGAAAGTAGGTTCCTGCTCTTCCTGGCTGGCGGGTTCGGTTCCACCGTGGGTGCATGGAGCCTGTGGGCGCAGAGCAGCTTGTCTCTGCCTGCTCCTGCCGGCTTTCTGCTGGGCCGTGGGCGGGTTCCTCTGCTGCCAGTGGACCTTTGGTGTGGAAGCCGCCAGCCTACGCTGCGTTTCCCCAGTAACTGATGTGTGTGTGGATCTTGGAGCAAGCGGCAGTTCTGTGTTTCGCCCGAGTTTCTCCAGGTCGTAGTGACACTGCTCGGTGCTCGTGGTCCCTGGCACCAATGCACCGCTGTCCTCGCTGCCTCTTGCAGACGATGTTCGCGCAGTTTCAGCACAGCCGGGAGAAAGCCCTGCCCTCCGACAACGTCAGGCATGCGCTTGCAGAGAGCTTCCGCGATGCCCAGCGCTTCCAGCTGGGCCTCATGGACGATGCCGCCGAGTGCTTCGTAAGTGCTGCGGGGTCCCGCGCGGGGGGTCTTCCTAGAGGGTCCTCCAGTGAGGTCCTCCCGCGAGGTCCTCCCTTGCAGAGTCGCCTTCACCGTCAGCAGGCGCAGCTGAGACAGGGCTGTCAGTGTGTCCACGGAAGGCCCATCTCAAGGCTGACTGTAGGTCCCCCTGTGTTTTCTGTTAAGCATTTGGTTCTGATTGTTTGTGCTACTCTAATTTTTACGAGTGTTAGGCCGTGAAAGTACTGGAAACTTTATCCACTGGAACACAGACCTTTGTAAGCCCTGTGCCTGAAGCAGGCGTCCTGCCTCAGGCCTCCCTGGGCTGCGTCGCAGCAGTGACAGGTCCTCACGGGCAGCGATCCCCTGGCCATCCCCTGGCGAGGAGAGGGCTATGGCCTCCCTGGTGGGGACGCTCTGGGGCGTCACAGCTCTGTTCCTGTGCTCGGGATGTCGCCGTTTCTTCTCCCTCGTTCCAGTTTCTGTCCAACACACTCTGTGGACTCTCCTGGGACAGACCCCACGGCTCCTTCCCATGTTTCCTTAACAGCCGTATTTCACCTTCCTTAAATAGGACTTTCTTTATCTATCATTTTGTCAAAGATCAAATTAAGACCTACTTATCAAGTAGTGTCTGCCCAAAGCACTCCAGTGGGTGCCCCGAGTTCCTGTGGAATATGGGGTTGGGGCACAATTGGCCTATGCTGTCAGGTCTCCATCATGGCAGGAGCCAGCCTGGCCTTGCCTGCTCCGCTGGCCTGTGTCAGAGGCATGCTCAGGGATGGGCACTCTTGGTGTTTTTTATTTATATTTGACCCATTTCTTAAAACAAATGTTTTGTACAATACTGAACTTTAGTTTTACTTTCTTTTAAGTGAAGTTTACTCATACATGCTCATCAAAATTCATAGTGTCCAGAAATCAGGGCTTCAATAATTGAACAGTTTCAGATGTCTTGGGGCAGAGGAGGGAGATGTGGGCTCACCCAGGTACAGTTAAGAGAGTGAATGCACGTGGTCAGTTTCTCAGGATTCCTGTGAGTGGGTGTCCCTCTCCACCATCAGTGTTTCAGGCTGTATCCGCTGGCCAGTGGGTCCAAGCAGGATTTTTAAAAGCTCCTGAGTTTCTACAGGTGAAGAAACCAGGAGCAGAGACTGCAGCGTTTTCTAATATTAAATCCAGGTCAGCCGCCAAGGGTCACGGCAGGTTGGCTCTGGAAGGACTTTGAGATCTTTGCTTGTGAGATTTCTCCTGTTACTTTTCCCCCCGGGTGTTGGGGAGTTGATTTGTGAGGAACACGGAACTGACTGTCCCAGCTCCTGTGTCACACTGGACGGTTCAGCAAGAATGAGGTTTTGCAGTGCTCCTGCAAGGGCAGCCCGAATGTCTGTTTTTGAATTAGGAGAACATCCTGGAGCGGATCCACTTCCACCTGGTGCCGAGCAGAGACGCAGACATGTGCACCTCCAGGTCCTGCATAGCCCACCAGAAGTTCGCCATGACCCTGTATGAGCAGGTGAGGCAGCAGCTGCCCTTCGGGGGCCCTCGCCTGGTCACTCATGGACTAACCTGTGTGTCACCCCTAGTGCGTGTGCCGCAGCTGTGGAGCCTCTTCAGATCCTCTGCCTTTCACGGAGTTCGTGCGGTACATCTCCACCACAGCCCTCTGGTAAGAGCCTGGCAGCCGTGCCTGCTAGCGCCCGGTATTGATTCTGTAAGTCACGGTGTGTGGACTGCTGTCCAAGTGATGGCTGCTGTGCAGCTGGGGTTAGAGCACCTCTCCCCAGTGCTTCCTCCAGCCTCTTGCGGGTGGTTACCCTACCCAGACTGCGTGGGACCAGATGTTTGGATTTCAGAGTTTGAACTGTCTGATGTACATCGTGAGCATCTGGGAGAGGGACCCAGTCTAAACAACAGATCCCATTCATGTCCATATACCTCTTGCACAGCCCGAGTGGTTCTACAAGTGGTCTCCAGTGCCTGAGCTGCAACTGTGCCCTGTCGTGTGAGGTCAGGCCTGGAGTTTTCTGTTGGTGGCACTATGTCACTGCTCAAGAAGCGTTGGAGTTTGGAGCATTTCAAATTCTGGATTTTCAGATTAGGGTGCTCAGCCTGTGTGTGTCAGTGACATGCACAAAATATTACTCAAAAAACTCTGTTTATATTTCTAGCAAGGTCTTGGGACTGTGAAGGGAGATAAAATGGCAAACTCTGGTCAGCGGAGTGCAGACAGTGTCTTATTCCCCTTCCTGAGGGAGGGAAAATGGGTGCCAGAGCGTCCTCACCCAGGGCATCTGGGGCCTCAGCCTTGTCACCAGCCTCTGCCTGCTGCTCTTCGACTTGTCTAAGGATCAAACACTGGTTACAGAGGTGGCCGATGACCCTGGGAACTATCTGCCCTTTCCCAGGTTTCTGAGAGCCCAGGTGCTGTGTGGTGGAAAGTGAAGAGACTCAGAACGTGGTAGCAGAAGCTTCTGTGGGGCAGGTGTAGCCAGTCAGGGCACCGGCCAGGCCTGGGCAGCGTGAGCACAGGCCCTTTGCTCCCACCTGAACTCGCAGCTCTGCAGTGTCTCTCGGAGGGCATCCTGTTGAGTGTCTCACATGCACCCACGAGCAGGGCTGGGAGCTCTGGTGGGGCAGCAGGCTCTGAGGTCTGGTTGGTCGCAGTGGGTGGTCAGTCCACTGTCAGTGTGCACGCAAAACTGAATGGCATTGGAGTGGGGAGAGACCAGGAACTAAAGGCTGCAAAATCTTACTCTGCTTCTAAAACGGCACAACCCCAAGCAGCAACTAGATACGGAGACCCCATCAGTGGTCCCACTGGCTCTCAGACTCGGAGCCCACTTACGCCTGTGCTTGTTTAGAGCGCCTCTCTAGTTGGGAGTGAGTAGTGGACGTGGACTGTGTGTGCTCGCCACATGCCAGGCTGTGTGTGAGTTGTTGATTTTGATCTCAACAGCAGCAGAAGTGGGCAGCTGGGGTTGATCTGGCAAGAGCTTGAGTCAGGATGGAAAGCTGGTCTGCCGCTGCACAGCGACCTCAGGAGTGTGTGGTGGGCCCCTGCTCCTGGAGGGCGCTGACGCCCTCAAGCCCCGTGAGCTGTTGGCTGTGCAGAACAGGACTCTGGGATGGAGAGCAGGTGGACAGTGCTGCCTTCGCGTCCCTCTGAGCATGTTAGAGAGCTGTTCTGGTGTTCACCTCCCCATGTGAGGAGTGACTCTGGGGAGGTGAGTGGCGACACCCTTACCCACATGGGGGGCCTGTGGGCTCCGTCAGTGTGACCAGCCTCCCCAAGGGAGCCAAAGCCAGGCAGGTGGTGACTCTGCCTTCTTCTGAGGGTTCTGTGCAGTTGGTGTCCTTGTCTCTGGGACTGGGGCCCAGAGCCTGTCCTGAGATCTTGCTCTCTTGTTGGGCCCAGCGTCTGGGCCCTGTGGGGGGCCCAACTTCACGCCCATGCCCACCTGACCTGGCTTTTCATCACGCACCTGCTGCAGTTTCCACCACGTGGAGATTCACGTGAGGTTGATTGTCCAGGCTCGGCCCTGGTGAGGTAGGGAAGCGGCTGCACCTGGGCCAGCTGCGTGATGTTCCTGGGTCACGTACTGATCTGTTTTCAGTCCACAGGCCACATTGGGACTGCTGCTTTTTTTTGTAGCAATGAAGTTGAGAGAATGCTGGAGAGGCACGAACGCTTCAGGCCTGAAATGTTTGCGGAACTGCTGCAAGCAGCCAACACAGCCGGCGACTACAGGAAGTGCCCCGTGAGCAGGCTCTGGGTGTGGGCCCCAGCAGGGTCAGCTGAGGGGTGCAAGTCGCATGCTGGCTCCACACAGGAGCCATTGTCCTAGCTCTGTTTCTTTTAAAAACTTGTATTGTGGTCAAGAGATTTAAAGCAGCACATGCCATTCAATTTTTTTGGAAGTTCTGGGATTTAGCACTTGAGTTTAAAGAGGTTTCTCTTCTTTCTTTGAATAGACATGATAAATGATATTCTTTTCTCATCTAATATTGGTACTAGCTTTTACCTGCTTTCTTTAGGCTACATTCTTGTTTTAACACATCTACAAAAACACCAAAGAATATTTTGATTTGAAGTAAACTTCCTTTTTAATCAGTTATTAGAAGAGATCAGCAATTTCTCAGGGAAAAAAATGAGTTCAGATGGTCTTTATATAACGTAAATTGCATAATTTCAAAACTTGCCTTTTGTGTTTTTCTTTAGAGTAATTGTGGCCAAAAAATAAAAATCCGCCGTGTTTTAATGAACTGCCCAGAGATTGTCACGATCGGTTTGGTCTGGGACTCAGAGCATTCAGACCTGACTGAGGACGTCGTCCGGAACCTAGCAACACACCTCTATCTTCCTGGGGTAGTGTACCTGTGTTCCTTCTTTTCCCTTTTATTTTAAATTCCTCTAAACACCTTCGTGTGTTGTGATACACATAGTTTTGCTTTTTAGAACCTAGATTCTTTTAAAGAAAATACTGATATTTCTGGGTAGTGTGGCACAGACAGATCTCGTTGGCTCAGGTGAGAGGATGTTTTTCTCACAAAGCTCAGAATGGCTTTCAGTTGCAGACCAAACTCCGTCATGCCTTTTGCCCTGAATGACAGTGACAGTGTGGTTTCATCCATAGTCAGTGTTTACCTGGAAAAGGCTTTAAGATATAAGATTCAGGGCTGGGGATTTGGCTCAAGCGGTAGCGTGCTCGCCTGGCATGCGTGCCGCCCGGGTTTGATCCTCAGCACCACATACAAACAAAAAATAACTAAAAAATAAATATTAAAAATTCTCTCTCTCTCTCTTAAAAAAAAAAAGATGTAAGATCCACCTGTAACACTGATCTCTTGATATGCTTCACTGTTATTCTCTTAATATATTGTAGCTGGTTTATGTTACAGTTAAGATTTTAGACAGGTGTACTTCAGGAAATACTTTGACATCTGTTCACGTGTGTGGTTTGCCGGGAGTGCGATGGAGCTCTCCGTCTGCACAAACCACCTGCACTTGATGGAGCACAGTCTCCACAGACTCATGAGTCTTAGGACTTAGTGGTGAACGTGCCAACCGGTTTCTCAACAGCTGTTCTACAGGGTCACTGACGAGAGTGCCCGGAGCAGTGAGCTGCACCTGGTGGGCCTGATCTGCTACGCCAGCCGGCACTACTGTGCCTTCGCCTTCCACACCAAGAGCTCCAAGTGGGTGTTCTTTGATGATGCGAATGTGAAAGAGGTGAGGCTTTCAGTAGCTGGGAGAACTATTTTGAGAGTTCTTTTTAGGAATAAGTGACATAACTATACGAAATGATGGAATCATCACATGAAGTGATAGTGAAACCGGGTTTGAGATGAAACCAGATTCTCTGCCTCTGCGGGCGAGCGGCTCTGCCCGAGCCGCAGCCTCTGTGGCCGAAAGCTGTTTGGTGTTGGCAGCCAGTCCCAGCAGGAAATGCCTGCTGGCGCCAGCTCCGCCGGCCACCGCCAGCAGAGCCAGACTCTTCTCCACGACAGTGTTGGGCTGTGCCTGTTGGGATTGAAGCAGACCCCAGTAGTCTATCACCAGTTTCTTTTTGGATTCTTGTCTCCTAGAATTCAAAGAATGAAATCTATAGACAATGAAAGAAAGGATTTATTTAAAGTGAGAAGGAAAAAGCCTGGCTGGGCCCGAGGGGGCCATCTGACAGCAGATTGCCACTTAAGTGCACTAGTCTAGGGGCTTGTATAGCCACTGGGCAGGGGCACTGATCTGGGCTAATCAGGTATTGGAAGATACCAAGGCTGTTGATCAAGATCTACACTGATCAGGGATTAGAAAAGTGTTAAGGCTGTTGGTAAAAATCGTTTCCAGTTGGATTGTCGTCTTACTAATAAGCTGGAGAAATTCTTTATTCTCTACACCAGTTCTTTATTAGGTTTTTATTGCTTATTTTAAAGCTTAGCAGTGTGTCTTTGCAAGAGCAGAAGTTATTGATTAATTTTAACAAAGTCCATTTTGTTAAAATTTTCTTCTACTGTTCATTTGGTTCTAATCTTTGCTGTCCACATGTTGTGAAGATTTTCTCGATATTTTTTTCTGGACGCTTTGTAGTTGGAGTTGGTTTTTCCTTGGGGCCGTGGGCCAGAGCTCTTCTCCCCTGGCTGGCTGTCCAGCTTCCAGCCCCGTTTGTGGAGCAGACCTGCTTCTGTTTCTCCACCGAGTGGCCTTGAATCCTTGTCAAGTCAGTCAGCCTGACTTACAGTGTCAAATATGCGAGGATGCCAGTCAACCCTGAAAATGTTACTTATTCCATATATTTGAGGATGTATTTTATTTCCCATCCAGGAAATAAAAGAGATACAGCAGCAATGATTAAAAAAAAAAAAAAAAAGATCAGCCACTTACGTGGAAATCTTTTTAAACTTTAATACACCTCTTCAGATAGAACGCCTATCGAGTCACCCCGTCAAATTCCAGAGGAACAGGCGTGACACCCTCTGTGTGTCGTCCTTGCAGGATGCTGGTTGGTATGCCAAGGGGCTGCTGGCTCGGAACGCCTGCAGTGCTCTTGAGATGCTTGTCCAGTCCTGCTCCGTGCACTCACTGACCACGGGCCTTCCTTTTGTTTCTGTCCCTTGCGCTCTGCCAAGGTTGGAGCTAGGTGGAAAGACGTGGTCTCCAAATGCACCCGGGGTCACTTCCAGCCGCTGCTCTTGTTTTACGCCAACCCAGACGGCACGGCAGTTTCCACTGAAGATGCGCTCAGGCAGGTGGTCACCTGGTCACATTACAAATCTGTTGCAGAAAATATGGGTAATTCTTTTAAAAAACTTTTTGGTGTTTTTCTATTATCAGAATCAACTAGGAATATTTACACTGGATATAAGTGAACATTGAGCCCGGGTATAGTGACCACTTTTATGACCCCAGCTACTCAGAAGGCCGAGGCAGGAGGATCGTGGGTTCAAGCCAGCCTCAGCAACTTAGCAAGGTTCTGTAGTCAATATAAAATTAAAAACGGCAGGTGGAGGCTGTGGATGAGGCTCCATGGTAGAGCATCCCTGGCTTCAGTCCCCAGTGCCTGTGTGTGTGTGGGTCAGGGTGGGGAGAGGCAGGGTGGGGGGGAATAACTTGAAAACTGAGTTTCAGTGATGGGGTTCAGGGCCTTCTAGCGTGCTCTGTTCATTTTTACTATTCTCATTTACAGTGCTAGGGCCGGAACCCAGGGCCTTACGTGCCAGGCAGGGCTCTGCCACTGGCCACACGCAGCCCTTTGTTAGCCTTTAGAAGGAGCCTTTGTGTGTCATTGGTCCCATAGCACATTTAGGGGTTACTACTCTCTGGTGGCTCTGGAACACCTAGGGGTCACCCACCATCCATAAGTGGCCCTAGGTCACCTGTAGGGTCACCCACCATCCCCTGTCAGTGACCCCTGAGCAACTATAGGTCACCCACCATCTCCTGTCAATGGCCCTAGGCACTTGCAGGGTCACCCATACTCCCTTTAGTGGCCCCAGGGCTACTGTAGGGTCACCCACCATCATCAGTGGCACCTGGAGGATCACCTGCTCTCCTGGTCACAGGTGCCTAGGCTGCCTCGCTGGTCGCGCCTCCTAGTGGTGAATATTGAGCTTTCTGTTGATTTGGTAGACTGGGCCTAGGGCCCTTCAGAGTGTGGAGCAGAGAAGTGTGAAGTAGTTCTGCCCTCAGTGCTGACAGTGTCTGCAGGAGTGAGCAGGCAGCTGGGCACGGGGGCGCATGCCTGTATCCCAGTGGCTCAGGAGACCGAGGCAGGAGGATCATGAGTTCAAAGCCAGCTGATCAAAAGTGAGGTAGTAAGCTACCTAAATAAAATACAAAATAGGGCTGGGGATGTGGCTCAGTGGTGGAGCGCCTCTGAGTTCAGTCCCTGGTACCCACCCCCCAAAAAAGTGATGCCAGCATCTTTTCTCCTGATGCAAAGGAAGAAAATGATACATTTTTGTTTCTCTTTTTAAGGATGTGAAAAGTCTACAATTCGTAAGTCAGCTAGTTGCAAAGAAAATGAGTGTACCGATCACGGTCACGGAGAACTGAGAGGAGGTCAGAACCCTCAGAGTGAGGTGTCGTCATTTAATCGGAGCCCTGTTCAAGCAAGCGGAGGGAGAGGAGCAGGTACGTATGTGGTGGCCCCTCTCCTCTGGTTTCCCCCATCCTTCTCACCGAGTTCCTGAGACATGGTGCATGGTGCTCAGCTGGCCTTCCTGGCCCGGGAGAGACTGGCGGGTAGACTCCAGGCTGGGCCAGCTAAGACTGGCAAGTTGCTGGACAGCTGTGACTGGGCCCTCCTCAGGCCCAGGCCCAGACAGTGGTATCCCAGGCCCTCAGGTGCTGTTGGCGAGTGCAGCCGAGGGGCGGGGTGCGCATCACTCTGCCTGTGTTCACTCCCGCTTGTTGTCATCCATGATTTTGATTCCCACAAGGCACGTCTTGCAATTTTCGTCCCAAGTAAAATGTCTGGCAAGCTGCTGCTGCTGCTGCTGCTGTACTATGTGTAGTTAGGATTTAGAAATAGGAAAACCGAGTCCTGTGGACGTTCAGGGGGACTTAGGAGCAGCTTCTAAACATGCTGATGAAATCAAGTCTGCCAGTGCCTGTGGCCCTTCAGCTAGGAAGGGGCACCTGGAGTCCTCCGTGGGTGGCCCTGGGAGCCCTTACCCGCAGCACAGCCTGGGTCCCCCCCAACCCTTTCTCCGTGGTCAGGATGGTGTGGTCTTCGTGTCTTTTGGTTCTCCTAGGGCACCTCCGTTAGCCGCGTGTGCTGAAGCAGCCAAGCGTGGTGCACGCTCTGTTCTCGAGCTGTATGAAGGTGGACTCGCTTCTGATTTCTCAGGGCTCCATTTCCTTAACTGAAATGGGGATAGTGACTCTGCCCATTTCAGAAAATGCAGAGAGCAAGACCTGCAGAGCCGTGCCCACAAGCGGGGGCCAGGCGGTCACCTGTGTCCTTATTATTTTGATGGCACGTTTCTTTTTTCTTTTCACTCACTCCAGGGTCTCTCTAAGAAGTGTTGAAGGAAACTGTCTCCAGAGGTCAGGAGAAGTCAGCAAGTGTGTAGTCAGGCCGAAAATGAGTTCATTGTGTACTCGAGGTGGTGGTTTTAAATATAGGATCAGCGATTTTAGCTGAATGTTTACTTTTGTTGAACAGTTTGAAAATGATGTGTCACTGTAGGAATGTTTCTTTTGCAGTTAAGCTAAGCCATGGTGATCAAAGGGAAAAGGTAAAAGACCTCTCCAGAGAATGTGCTCTGAGAGCCGTCCAGCAGAGGAGCTTGCTTTCTGCCCAGTGGAAAGCTCTCGAGCAGGCACAGAGGAAGGACACGGCCCGGCACCGAGGTGAGTCCAGAGTGTGCGCTTCCCTTGAAGGCACTGCCCGAAGTCTCGTTCTGAAATGGAATTCTGCAGCTTCGGGACGGCAGTCGACCTGTGCCTGTGTGCACGTCTTGTGTGTCGCTGTGTTTCTCAGCACGAGTTCTTCAGTACACCTGTACCCAACCCAGAAGGCCCACTCAAGCCTAAGCTGGGACTGAGTGTTCCGGTTCCGATGTTTTAGCCTTTCGTGGTGAATGTGCTCCCTCAGGTGGCACGTGAGACTGCGAGGGGTTACACAGGGACAGCTCTGACCCTCCCTGGGTTCACGGCCTTCACCTCTCACGGGCTGCTCTCTGGCTTGTGCTCTTCCTTCTGCACGTGGCGTCCTTGAGCTGCTGCTGACAGACGCACACAGGTGCTCTCCTGCCGCCTTGTGTGCTGCTCACTGAGTGTGGCACCTGGGGAGTCGCCGTGGCAGCTCTGCCCGGCCTGGTGGGCGGCCACAGCTGCACTGCCCCCTGGACCCCACGGCCTGCACACTGGCCTGAGCTCCGTCTCCGCTCACAGCAGCAGCAGCAGCAGCAGCTTGCCAGATGTTTGGGGCTTTGCAGTGTGTGAGATGGAAAGTATTAGGACTTTTGTTGATTGTGAGATATTTTTTTAAAAAACTTCTTTGTGATCCGCCTTGTGGCCTTTTTTTTTTAGTTTAGTTTAGTTTTTAGTTGTAGAAGGACACAATACCTTCGCTTTATTTATTTATTTTTATGTGGTGCTGAGGATCGAACCCAGGGCCTCACACGTGCGAGGTGAGCGCTCTACCTCTGAGCCACAACCCCAGCCCTTGTGGGCCATTTTAAAAGTCCATCTCTTTTATAAGTGCTTCTCAGTGAGCATGAATGAGCACTGATGAAGTCCTTGAATCTCATAGCAGATTGTGACTGACTGCCGTCCTCCTGCTGACCACCTAGCATTTCTTTTTGAAGGGTCCTCGGCTTGTGACTGCAGCATTGCCGTGTGGGGAGGGCCATTCATGTCTTTGACTGTGGTCACTTTTTAAGGTATGTCTGACGAGGAGCTCTCACATGTCAAGCCTGGGTCACCACCTGCCTCCAGTGACTTCAGGCGACAGGGCAGCGCTCAGCTCTGCCACAGTCAAGGGAAGGAGCCCTGTAGACAGGAGCGAGCGGCCTCTCAGAGTCGAGCTGCTGGGCAGACAGTGAGTCCCAGCAAGCCCCAGGCGCCTGTTCCAGGAGAGAGAAGAGCCAGCAAGGTCAGCGGTGCTGCGTGTGGCCCAGACAGCAGCCAGAGCTCTCGGGACAGACATGGTGGCCGGAGCCGGGGCCGAGGGTGGAGGCCCCTGAGGGAGGCCCTGAATGTGGACAGCGTTTTCAGTGACAGTGGGAAGAGGCAGCACAGCCCACGGCGCAAGGCGGACATCAGCCATGGACCCCAGGGGGGCCAGGAGCAGACCTGTGGCAGCTGGTCCAAGCAGAGCACGGAGCAGAAAGGGCTGGTGACCATCTTCGAGGACGAAGGGAAGCTGGAGACGGGAAGCAGAAGCTCCCTGGACTCTGGCGGGAAGGGAGCAGAGAGCAGGGCAGGCCCTGTGGGGCGCGGGGTTCCTGGTGACGGCTGGCAGGTGCAGAGGACCGAGTCTGGGTATGAAAGCAGCGACCACGTCAGCAACGGGTCTGCCAGCCTGGACGCGGCAGCTGCCGACGGGGGTGGCCCAGCAGTGGCCAGCGGTGCTGCCGCTGAAGCAGGGACTTGCAGGTAACAGACCCGGGGGCTCCCTCCACCCTCTTCTGTCCCTGGTGTGAGGCCATTTGTTGGGGGTCAGTTAAGCATAACAGCAGCTGAGCATAGAGAACGTGGCTTGGCTCTTCTTGCACACTGAGGACCCCGGGCTTTGGTAGGTAGTTACCGACTCCAGAAATAAGAACTGTTTATTTTTAGGAAATTTGAAAAGTATGGAAATGTACCAGGGCTTCCATCCCTGTTCCTTGTGAGTTTCTTCTGTGGGTCTTGCCTGGGTTATTTTTGTTTGGGGGGTGTTTTTAGTTATAGATGGGTACCTTTATTTATTTATTTATTTATTTTTGTGGTGCTGAGGATCGAACCCAGAGCCTCACACATGTTGGGCGAGTGCTCTGCCACTGAGCCACAACCCCAGCTCCCTGGGTTATTAAGTCGAAGCTTTAATTCTGAAGTCTGCGAGCCTTGTTATCTCATCTCTAACACAGCTCAGAGCTGGGCTGTTCTTGCTGTCAGACTAGTTCCGGAAGAGTCGTCTCCTTACCACTGTGACAGGACGCGGCTCTGCTCGACGCCTGGGTTTCATAGAATTCAGCAGCTTGGGTTTTATTAAAAGAATTATTTCTGTAAGGAGTTAAGGACGCTTTGCATGGGGAGTGATTTTATTAGACCTCTCAGGAGAGGTGGCCAGATGGGTGGGAGGAGGGGACGTGCAGCCTCGCCTCTGCAGCAGGGGCTCCTGAGTCTGCTTCCGCGCCCCATCTCCTGCTAGAGGCTGAGGGTGATCCCAGCCTTGGCGCCTGCTGAGGTGTGGGTTGGATGGAGCACCCTGGGCCCTGACATAGCGCGGGGAATGGGACTTCACCATGCTCCTTCCTTCCCTTCCTTTAGATCAAACCAGGGTCCACAGTAACCCCGTGTTCCACACGTGTTTTGTTTTCTAGTGACCAGATCACGAGGAGCAGCCCACAGGCAGGGCATGCGGACTGTACCTCCCATCAGAGCAAACGGCACGCAGAAGGTGAGTGTTGTTTAGTCTGTGAGAGTTGCAGTAAGACGTGATTAGTTAATGTTTTCTGTTACCATGTACCTAAAAGGAAATCCTATATGGTCATAAAAATTATTTTAAAATAAGTTTGAAATATCAATCATGCCTTTTTTTTAAGTTTATGTATCACATTGTAATAGGAGCAAAAAGGAGACTCGACCTTCTTACATGTGCGTGGTCTGTTGCTGTGGTTTTCACACCTGTGGCCCAGACGTGGCTCTGGCTTTCAGTCTCTGCGGCTGGTAACCCAGTGTCCTCCGCTGCGGCTCCCTGGCTGTGCTTGTCAGCACATCTCTGTGCCTCCTAAGCAGCTGGCTCAGGCATGAAATGCTCAACTCTCTTCCCTGGTGGCAGCTGCACTGGGCTCCTGTGTGGGGGGGCCCTGGGAACCTTGCTGTGGTCCTGGCCCCATCTCCCAGGCTGGACTGGCCATGGCAGGCAGGCCCCTGAGCAGCCTTTGCCACCTGACCCTTCCTCGAGGGGGCATGTTTCTGTGTTTGCCAAGGGGAAGCTCATGATCCTCTGGTTTAAGGGCTGTGGCCTAAGGACTGTTGGTCTTTCTGATTTACCATCCCCCGTTTCTCAAAATAGCAGGCATGTGAGACAGGCAGAGTGTCCAGGTCTCCCCTGGAATAAGGATAAAGAGGGTAGGCAGGGGCCAGCAGGGCGGGGTCGAAGGCTGTCAGAGCAGGAGCAGGAACAGCTGCTGCAGGCAGAAGATGGGGGGGGGGGGGGTCGGCAGCTGGGTCAGGCACACGGTGAGGCTGCTGGAGAGCTCAGGTGTTGACCGTCCTTGGCGTGGTGTGGCTTCCTGGGCAGCGCTGGGTCCAGGCTCATGGGGGCCGGTGGAGGAGGTGCCGTGTGGAGAGCCAGCTCCCGTCCAGGAATGCCTCTCCCCGCTCACGTCCCACTGGCGAGTCTCACAGGCAGCCTGGGCATCAGGAGGGAGGGCAGAAAGTGCAGGTTCATGGCCGCGTGAAGGCCAGCCGGGGCGGCGGCAGCAGCTCCAGTGAGGGGTAAGGGGACATGGGGACAAGGCTGGTGGCAGCTTCAGGGCGAGCGAGATTGGGAACAGTGAGCAGTGGTGGGCGTCTGTGTGGGTGGCCTGTGGGCTGGGAACGGATCCTGGAATGCTGGCAGCTGTGGGATGGCCTTGGGCCCAGCACTGCCTGAGCTGCAGGGGACATGCCTCAAGGTTCAGAACTTAGGAGGGGCAGGCTTCCCACAGAAGCAGACAGCTGTGGACAGTGTGTGGTGAAGGCTGCGCCTTAGCCCTCCCTACTGTTTCTGTGGCGGGGTTTCCCAGGTTGAGTGCGATGACTCCTTGAATCATCTTGCTTTCACCATATGGATATCATCAGAGGAAACCCGTAGTCAAGGTGCTGTAGGGACAGACGAGGCCAGGCACCGAAGGTATCAGAAACAGTTTTATTTGGCTGCAGCAGGCTCAGAGGGCACAGCTTTTGCTGTAATCAATCAATCCCCTGAACCCCGAGTTGAGGGAGTTTCAGAGTTTTATACCCAGTGTGCAAGGGGAGGGGCTCCGAAGTTCACAGCTTTTTCTCTCACTGTTCTGGGCACGTTAACCCTTCAAGGACCACACCTGAGAAGGGGAGAGCTGCTTCCCCTCTCTTCCCTCCCCTGCCAGCTGTCACCAGGGAGCCCACTTGTAACTTATCTTAAAAATGTAGACACCTCTGTGAAGCCCAGCTCAAGGCCAGAGGCCCTCTTTGCACACTTCTTCAACTAGTAAGGGGTGTCCAGCACCTGGAGTGCTGGTGTCATCTCGGCCTGTGGCCAAGTAAACAGGGCAACACGAAAATAGGAAGGTTGTCTACATTGGGCTCTTTTGCTGACAGTCCTAAAATCAGCTGGGCGAAGATTTCTGGAGAGGCCCAGTTAAGGCTTTTCAGTGGAGAAAGGGGGAGCCACTTCAAAGGCAGTGACCGTCCATGTGACGGCCTCCCGGGTGCAGCTCTGATAGCAGTCTCCCAGTCTCACGAAACGGCAGGATCCTGCTGCTCGGGCTATACCCTGCAGATGGCAGCACTGCCTGCTGGTCCTGGCCTGCACCTCCCCAGCCACTCTCTGTCCCCATGAGCCAGACACAGTTCTGTGACCGTGTGTCTATCACTGTCGTCCCCCTGAGGCAGATGCACTTCTGAGTGACCGTGTGTTAATCACTGGCTGTCCCTGTGAGGCAGATACACTTCTGAGTGACCATGTGCCAATCACTGGCTGTCTTCGTGAGGCAGACGTGCTTCTGAGTGACTGTGTCATCCAGTGTTTTTTTTATTTCACTGCAAGTAAGTCTGCTGTCATTAGCCATTTCTGGAATCAGTCTTTTTTTTAAATACCTTTATTTTACTTATTTATTTTTATGTGATGCTAAGGATCGAACCCAGGGTCTCATGTGTGTGAGGCAAGCGCTCTACCGCTGAGCCCCAGCCTCAGACTGGAATCAGTCTTTCTGGACTGGAAGTCCCCTGGGGGCAGCAGGAGACCACAAAGTCACGGAGCCTTGCGAGTGTCTGTCTTTTATGTTTTCTGTGACGTTACACAGCTTTAGTATTAGAGTGCCCGTGGTGGTGGAGAAGTGGAGTCCGTAGTGTTGCCCAGTGAGTACTGCATGTTTTCACAGTGCGGCTGTCACATCACCTCTGCAGCCTGTGCAGGTGTGGGCTCCACGTGGGCTCTTCTCTGCCCGCCCAGGTGTGGGCTCTGCTCAGCCCATGCCAGTGGATTCTGCTTAGACCCTTCTCGTGCTGCCTGGAGCCGTAGCAATGCTTGAACTTCCCACAGTGCATGTGAGATATTTTAGCCTCTCTTTTAAAATGAGTTTCTAGTGGAAAGAATTTCAGGTGCCTTGACCTACAAGAAGGAGAAGGATGGAAGGATGAGGAGATAGCATGTTAGGAAGCAGCAGGTCAGGGAGCCCTCCTGTGCTTGCAGAGGGCCGTATGTTGGCACACACCAGCTGGCTGGCACATTTGGGTGTCTTGGGGGACGGCAGGGGCTCTGGGGAACCAGGCTGGCTGGGCGGGCGCTGCAGTTCACTGGGTGGGCCGGCAGGCCTCCAGGCAGGACCATGCCCTGACCTTCACCCCAGGAGAGACTGCCTGGTGGAGACGTTGGCGAGGCGATGTGCATCCCAGCGGAGAGCTGTGTCCACAGCAGCGAGTTGGGAGGCTTCAGCACTTGTGCCGTTTGCTTTTGTGACAGTCATAACAGCGTGAGTGACTGGAGGGAAGCAAGCCTCGTGGGGCGCTCCAAAGCTGGTTCCACCTGCCACATGGTGATACAGGAAGAGGAAGGTGGGAGGCCGTGGCCTAGGTAGGCTGATCCCACGAGGCAGTTGGGAACCTGCTCTGGAGGTCGGGAGGGCTTGGGGGTCGTGGCAGGGCCATAGCTGGGGCACTCGGCAGAGCTGGACAGTGTGGGGCAACCCAGACAGTGTGGGAGGCTGGGCATTGCTGAGGAGGAGGCGAGCATCGGCAGCGCCCACCGTGGGGGCCAGAAGGTCCAGGAGCGCACGGGAGAGGGAATTTCTCCGGAAAAATCCCATACGGAGGCTGGTGGAGAGCGGGCTGCAGGTCTGCGTGGCCTTGGAGGGGAATTCCCTGTGGGGCAGCAGGAGCCGTGGAGGCACATCAGACGTGGAAGTAGCTGAGGCAGAACGGACGTGTGGCCGTGAGCCCGTGGTGTGTGGTTCAGGCAAAAATGTGAAGTATTCACGTTAGGTGATTCTGGGTAAAAAAACAGGTTTCCGTCATGCTGGTTTTCATCGTTAGACTTTTGTGAACTTTTGAGCTACTCCCAAACAAAAAGTTAAAGGAAAAAAGAGATTACAGTAAAATTAAAAGGAGATAAAAGGGAAGAAGTGGGTTTTGTTTGTCAAACCTTTGCTCTGCGTTGCAAAGAGACGGTCCTAGAGAAGCTCTGTCCGACGCCTAGGCGAGGCGCCAGGCTGGGTTCACATGGGGAGGCCAGGCACCAAGAGTGCGGAAGAGAGGGAAGGAAGCACAGATGTGGAGGAGGAGAGAAGGGGAGAGGGCCGAGGCACAGCAGAGCAGAGCAGAGCAGCGCTTACTGTAGCTCGCGAGTGCTTAGGGTTTGTAGTCGTAATGTGAAACTAATAATTGCCACTGTATTCTGAAATATCACTGTCCAAGAGTGAAGCTTGCATTATCCAGACTGAAGTTAGGTGTTACTGGTCAGAGACCTTTTAACTTATAAACTCATCTTTTTAGATAAAAGATACCTTTTGATTTCTTGAGTATTGTGCTGTAGAATTGTTTTGAATGCAGTTTCAAGGTAGCATTAGTTAGAGCCCCCGTCTTAACACTGAAGAATCTTCTGGCCTGGTGTTTCGATCAGATTCTCTGGGTTTGCAGGGCAGAACAACGTGTTGATGTTAAGCCGCTGGGATTCTGAAGGCACTGCTCTTGGAGCACACCTGCCAGAGCCCTACAGCCATCAGTGCCTCCTGCTGCCCACTGTGCTGTTACCTTGGTAAAATTAAGTCATCATTTGTAAGGATTTGTAATTTTCTTTTTAAAAAATTTTATTACATATTGATAAATTATAGTGCTTTATATTTATTGGGTACAAAATTATTTGGGGTTTCCTAGTACAACGTAAAATGCTCAAACCAGGCTCCATAACTTCTTAGCTTGTTTCTTTTTTTGTGGTATTAGGGATTGAACCGTGGTGCTTTACCACTGAGCTACATCCCCAGCCCTTTTTATTTTGTGACAGAGTGTCAGTAAGTTGCCAAGACGGGTCTCAAACTTGTGATACTCTTACCTCAGCCTCCCAAGTAGCTGGTATTGCAGATGTACAACTGTACAACGCCACACCCAGCTTCAGTTTATTTCTTGTCAATTCTTCCAGGATTTAATTTCAGAGTCTGATCATAATCAAGTGCAGATTTGCTGCATCAAGTAATTTTTATATCTTTTAGTCAATTGTAT